GATCTAGTGCGGCGCGCGGGAAGTGACGCGTATCGGTGGGTGGGAAGTGGCGGAGAGGTTGGGGGGGTTTATGGGGGAGGGGTTGGGTTGAAGGTTTGGGGGTGGAACGGGGGTAATGGAGGAGGGGAGAAGGCCCATAGGGAGCACACCCTCCCCAACCCTTGGGAGACCCTCAACCCGTTGGAGACCCATCACCCCATGGGACCCCCCAACCCACGGGGCGCCCCCCAACCCTTGGGAGGCCCTCAACCCCCTGGAGAACCCCCAACCCATGGAAGATCCTCCACCCATTGGAGACACCCCATCCCATGGGAGACTCCCCTGACCCATGAGGACACCCCCCAAACCTTGGGTGACCCTCAACCCATGGAGGAATCCCCAACCCACAGAAGACCTCCCCAACCCATGGGAGAACCCCCAACCCATGGAAGACCCTCAACCCGTTGGAGAACCCATCAACCCTTAGGAGACCCATCAACCCATGGGAGACCCACCAAATCATGAGGACACCCCCCCCCGAGGAATCCCCAACCCAAAGGAGACCCCCACAACCCTTGGGAGACCCCCCAACCCTTGGGAGACCCCCCAACCCATGGAAGACCCTCAACCCGTGGAGGAATCCCCAACCCATGGCAGACCTTCTAAGCCTTGGGAGACCCCTCCAACCCATGGGGCACCCCCCCAGACCATGGGGTGCCCCCCAACACCCGCCATGTGTCCATCCTTCCTCAGACGGTGACGGTGAAGGAGGACGATGTCCACCAGCAGAACCCCCCCAAGTTCGACAAGATCGAGGACATGGCCATGCTGACCTTCCTGCACGAGCCCGCTGTCCTCTACAACCTCAAGGAGCGCTACGCCTCCTGGCTCATCTACGTGAGCCTTCCCATGAGCCCCTGGGGCAGCCAGCCACTGGGTGGGGCCTTCTCCACAGCCTATGGGGGGGGAGGAACCTGCTGACCTGTCCCACTGGTGCTGGGCCGATGCCCAGAACCCACTGCAGCTTCTCAGGTGGCTTCAGGGCCACCATGAACCTGGTGGCCCTTCTCCAGCCCCACTGGAGGCCACCCACACCCCAGAGGTCCCATCCCTGGACCCCCTGGGGCCACCAAGACCTAAGATGTCCCATCCCCAGACCCCTTGGGGCCACTAACACCCAAGAGGTCCCATCTCTGGACCAGCTGGGGCCACCCAGACCCAGGATGTCCCACCTCCAGCCCCCTTGGGCCGCCCTACACCTGAGTTGTCCCCTCCTGCTGGGGTGGCACCCGGTGGCCCTGACCCACCTGTCCCTCCTCCAGACCTACTCGGGGCTCTTCTGCGTGACCGTCAACCCCTACAAGTGGTTGCCCGTCTACAACGCCGAGGTGGTGGCCGCCTACCGGGGCAAGAAACGGAGCGAAGCTCCGCCCCACATCTTCTCCATCTCCGACAACGCCTACCAGAACATGCTGACGGGTGAGGACCTCCCATGGGGATCCCAAACTAGAAGACCCCACCCCAAAAAATGGGTTCTGACCTCAACCTGGACCTCACCTGGGAGGGTGGAGAACACCAACCAAGACCCCAGACATCTCCCCTACCTTGGTCCCTCCTTACTTTGTCCTCACTTGGGAGGATGGAGAACCCCGAGACCCCACACATCTTCTACCCTGGTCCCACCTCACATTGTCCTCACTTGGGAGTATGGAGAACCCCAACCATGACCCACACATCTCCCCTACCATGGTCCCACCTGCCCCCTCTCTTCTCCTGCCAGACCGAGAGAACCAGTCCATCCTCATCACGTAAGTCCCTGCCCCCGCCGGGCCCCACCCCAGCACGTGGGGCTGCGCTGCAGAAGCTGCCATGATGTTCTCCACTATCTCCCTTCTGTTCCCTCACCGTCCCCAGCGGAGAATCCGGGGCGGGGAAGACGGTCAACACCAAGAGGGTCATCCAATACTTCGCCAGCATTGCCGCCATTGGTGACCGCAAGAAGGAGGCGGCCAATAGCAGCAAGGTACGCCCCCCCCAGCAGTGACCTTTCCTCCCCCACCTTGTGGTGTCCACACCCCCTTCTCCACCGTCCCACCCCCCCAGGGCACCCTGGAGGACCAAATCATCCAGGCCAACCCTGCCTTGGAGGCCTTCGGCAATGCCAAGACCGTCCGCAATGACAACTCCTCCCGATTCGTGAGTGGGGAGGGGTCACGGGGCAGGGTCAATGGGGAGGGGGCAAAGGGGTGAGGTCAATGGGGTGGGACCTTCTGGGGGGCGGTGGCCATCTCCACCTTCACCTCCTGCCACTGCTCTCTCAGGGGAAGTTCATCCGGATCCACTTTGGGGCCACCGGGAAGTTGGCGTCGGCTGACATCGAGACCTGTGAGTGGGTCGGGGGCTCCGGGAGGGGACACCCCATTGTCCACCCCTCTGTCCACCCTTCTTCTTGCCCCATCACCCCTCTGTCCATCCCTCCATCCCTCCATCCCCTCATCCCACCATCCACCTATGTCGTCCCACTTCCCATCCATCATCCATGTCCTCATCCCACCCTCCATCTGACCCTTCACCTCCATCTCCTCATGTCTCCATCCATCTCCTCTTCCCACCACCCATCTCTTCATGTCTCCATCCATCTCTCCATCCACCCATCTCCTTATCCCTCTATGTCCTCATGTCTCCATCCATCTCCTCATCCATCTCTCCATCCCTCCCACCACTCATCTCCTCATTCCACCATCCATCTCTCCATGTCTCCATTCATCTCCTCATCCCCCCATCTCCTCCCCCCAACCCAACCCCCCAACCTCTCCATCCTCACCTCAGACCTCCTGGAGAAGTCCCGCGTCATCTTCCAGCTGAAGGCTGAGAGGAACTACCACATCTTCTACCAGATCCTCTCCAACAAGAAGCCAGAGCTGTTGGGTAAGCGGGCAGGGGGAGGAGGGGTGATGCCACCACTGGGCTTTGGGTCTTCTCCTTCCCCCGCTGGGCCTCTTCCCCTTGGGGGGTCCAAGGAGACCTCGGGGGTGTTTGGCCACAGGGGGTGCTCATCCTCCATCTCTGTCCCCGTCCCTGTCCCTGTCCTGCGGAGCAGAGATGCTTCTGGTCACCACCAACCCCTACGACTACAGCTACATCTCCCAGGGGGAGGTGACCGTGGCCTCTATCGACGACGCACAGGAGCTGCTGGCCACCGACGTAGGCACTGGGCCGGGGGGAGGGGGAGCAGCTGGAGACAGGGGGGCAGGTGGAGATGGACGGGCGGGTCCTCAGGGGGATGGGTGAGCCCATGGGTGGATGGATGAGTCTCCTCAAATGGATGGATGACCATAGACAGATGAGAATCCTCAGAAGGATGGACGGATGGACAAATGGGTGGATAGATAGACAAGTCCTCAGATGGTTGGATGAGTCCACAGGTGGTTGGATCCTCAGAAAGACAGATGGATGAATCCATGTCCAGATGAATCCTCAGATGGTGGATAAGAGTCCTCAAATGGATGGATGGACAAATCCATGGATGGACAGACGAATCCATGAATGGACAAATCCTCAAATGGATGGATGAGTCCATGGATGGATGGATGGATCCTCAGAAGGATGGACGGATGGGTAGACAGATGGATGGACAGATGGATGGGGAGATGGACGAGTCCTCAGATGGATGGACAAGTCCATGGATGGATGAGTCCTCAGATGGACAGACAGATGGATGGAGTCCTCAGATAGATGGATGGATGGATGGATCCATGGACAGATGAATCCTGAAATGTACGGATGGATGGACAAATCCATGGATGGATGAGTCCATGGATGGATGGATGGACGAATGCATGGATGGATGAATCCTCAGGTGGATGGATGAGTCCATGGATGGATGAGTGCTGAGATGGACAGACAAATCCATGGCTGGATGGGTGAGGCCAGGGATGGATGAGTCAGATGGATGAGTCAGATGGATGGATGAATGGGTCCATGGAGAGATGAATCCTCAGAAGGATGGACAGATCCATGGATGGATGGACAGATGGATCCATAGATGGATGGATGGATGGCTGAGTCCATGGGTGGCCAGGTGCAGGGCTGGAGGAGCAGGAAGGGCAGAGGTGGTCAGCCTGGTGGTGGTGGTGGCCCAGTCCTCTGCGACCCCCCTCCAAACACCCCCCCCCCCCAGAGCGCCTTCGATGTCCTGGGCTTCACCGCCGAGGAGAAGGCTGGTGTCTACAAGCTGACGGGCGCCATCATGCACTTCGGCAACATGAAGTTCAAGCAGAAGCAGCGGGAGGAGCAGGCAGAGCCCGACGGCACCGAAGGCACGTCCAAGGGTGGGGTGAGGTGGGGTGGGAGCACACAGGTTTGGGGGTCACCGAGCAGGACTTGACCGTGCATCGTCTCCTCCCCCTCCACGCTCTGCAGATGCTGACAAGTCGGCCTACCTGATGGGGCTGAACTCGGCCGACCTTCTCAAGGGGCTGTGCCACCCCCGGGTGAAGGTGGGCAATGAGTACGTCACCAAAGGGCAGAATGTGCAGCAGGTGAACTACTCCATCGGGGCCCTGGCCAAGGCCGTCTACGAGAAGATGTTCAACTGGATGGTGGTGAGGATCAACAACTCGCTGGAGACCAAGCAGCCCCGGCAGTACTTCATCGGCGTCTTGGACATCGCCGGCTTCGAGATCTTCGACGTGAGGCCCAGCATGGCAGTGGCCATGCTCCTCCCGGGGCTCGGGGTGGTGCAGCTGGGGTTGACGCAGCTCCTTCAGCTTCATCCGTGGCTTTGGTGGGAACGTGGCCTCACTGGGCCTTGTGGTGACACCAGCAGATGTTGATTCGACCATGTTGACCCCATTGGGTGTTGGGTTGGCCCCAGTGGGTCTCAGGTTGACCATGATGATCCCATTGGACGTTACGTTGACCCTACTGGGTGTTGAGTTGACTCCATTGATCCCATTGGATGTTACATTGACCCTGTTGGGTCTCAGGTTGGCTCCGTTGACCCCATTGGGCATTGCGTTGACCCTGTTGGATGTTCAGTTGACCCTGTTGATCCCATTGGCTGTTCAGTTGACCCCTTTGGGCGACCTGTTGACCCTCCTCATCACATTGAGCATTGCATTGACCCCACTGGGTGATGAGTTGACCCCACTGATCCCATTGACTGTTGCATTGACCCTGTTGGATGTTCATTTGACACCATTGGACATTGGGTTGACTGTCTTTGGTGTTGAGATGACTCCACTGATCCCATTGGTCATTACGTTGACCCCGCTGGGTGTCTCCCTCTTCCCCCCCTCCCCCAGTTCAACAGCTTCGAGCAGCTCTGCATCAACTTCACCAACGAGAAGCTGCAGCAGTTCTTCAACCACCACATGTTCGTGCTGGAGCAGGAGGAGTACAAGAAGGAGGGAATCGAGTGGGAGTTCATTGACTTCGGCATGGACCTCCAGGCCTGCATCGACCTCATCGAGAAGGTACTACTTCTCGCGGGGCCTCCTGGGGGCCCCAGGGGGCTCCTGGAGAAACTCCTGCCAGTTGGAGCTCTCCAGGGACCCCAAGGGTGGCCGGTTGGCTCGCGGTTGGTGGCTACCGCAGCCAACAAGGTCTTCTCCTCCCCAGCCCATGGGGATCATGTCCATCCTGGAGGAGGAGTGCATGTTTCCCAAGGCTTCGGACATGACCTTCAAGGCCAAACTGTACGATAACCACCTGGGCAAGTCGGCCAACTTTGGAAAGCCACGCAATGTCAAGGGGAAGACGGAGGCCCACTTCTCCCTCGTCCACTACGCCGGCACGGTGGACTACAACATCATCGGGTGGCTGGAGAAGAACAAGGACCCCCTTAATGAGACGGTGGTGGGGCTCTACCAGAAGTCGGCCCTCAAGCTTTTGGCCAACCTCTTCTCCAACTATGCCGGGGCTGATGCCGGTGGGTGGATGGACGGTTGGGGGAATGGGGAAGACAGTTGCACAATGAGGTCTCCTCCTTTCCTGCCTCACCCCACCCCTCTGTCCCTCAGGCGGTGATGGAGGGAAAGGCAAAGGTGCCAAGAAGAAAGGTTCCTCCTTCCAGACTGTCTCCGCCCTGCACCGGGTGAGGG